GTGCCTCACTAGACGATGATAATCCGTTCCACTGAAATCGCTGTTGAGCGAAATCATTGTCTAGCGAAAAGCATTTCCCCATTGGAATGCATTGAAACCTGCTTAATGCATTCCAATGGGGAAGAATCGTCGTCGTCTAGCGAAGATCGGCCATAGGAAAGCTGCTTTGCGAACCGCCGATCAGCTGTTTAAATAGCTGTCTTGCGAAGCTTAGGTCCCGAAAACGCCTGTTTTGCGAGCGTGGAGGGAGCTGTCAAAATCGTTGTCTAGCAAAAATCGGTTTGCAAAGCAAGGACCAAACATTGTCCAGCGAAATTCCCCCATAGGAATCACTGTTTTGCGAATCGCTATAGCGATCGCAAAAATTCAATGCCTAGCGAAAAAACGGTCATGCGGGGTAACTGTCTAGCGAGGTATCACTGTACTATAAAGCTAGCACAGTGAATATCAGCAAACAACTCAAATTCCCCGAGTCCCCTATCCTTTTTATCTCTCTCCTTCTCTGGGATAGTCATGGCTCTCCTCCAGCCCCTAGAGATAAAACAGTGGTAATGATGTCCGTCCCTTACCCCACACCAAGACCCGATCAATCCTTGCCTAAGAGTGAATGTTGACGGCAAGGGTCTGGCCGAAGACTTTCCACCCGTAAGTTCTATATTGTGACGGACTGTTGAAGCCAACAGGGCACGGCTGCAGTTCTCCCTTTAACTAAAGAAAATTGGGAAGACCTTTCTTTTTGTCCCACCACCTTCAGTTTTGTTTGGTGGGGACACAGTAGAGGACTTTGTTTGTGGCGCTCCCAGACTATGGAACTCCCTCCCACTGGAGGCCAGCCTGGCTCCATCTTTGCTGTCCTTCCTCAAGCAGGCAAAGACCTTTCTCTTCAGGCAAGCTTTCCCTGAGTGTCTAGGAAAGGTTTAAAAATAAGATAGTTTGCATTCTGTTGATTCTAAATCTATTTTAGTAATGCTTTACTAAAATTCATTTGTTTAATGTTTGAATAATTCACTTCAGCTTTAACATTGTATTTTAATGATGTAAGCCACTTTGGGCCTTTTCTTAGGAGAAAGGTGGGTTACATTTTTTAAAATAAATAATAAATAGGATAACTGCTATTTTGTAACTAATAAGCCAGCACAGACAGTGAACTAACAAGCCAGAATGTTTAATGATCAGGCCAAAATGAGTATATGACTTTGGATACTTAATACTGTAGATTTGTTTGCTTCCTATGTGACAGGATTTGAATTTTCCTGCAAACAGAAACCACACATTCTTCATTAATTAGACTGATGAGATTATTATCCCCCCCACCCAACATTTTAATTTCTTAGATTCAATGCAAGTTTCTTTTGCTCACACACTCCATGGCACGCTTGCCACCATTTAACCAATATAACAGACTTCCGATTCCATTTCATCTCATCTTTGGTTGCAAGATTTTTATTTTCTTTTTTTTTTAATTAATTAAAAAAAAGACAGGGAAAAAAACACAAAACCACGACAGAACCAAATAAAAGAACAAATTTAAAAAAATCACTCAGAATATTTGTTACATCATCATCATTATCATCATCATTTTTTTTCAAGTCACTTCTAAGCCCCACAGTTACAAATAAATTAACGAGACAGGATCAGACCCCGGAAGATTAAAAAAAAATTTAAAAAAGAAAACTGAATTACTAGGAACTAACTACCTTTGGCAAAGTTATCACACGATTTTTCCACTGCTCCCGGGTCGGCTACAGCAACAGGCCAGTCATGTTGAGGTGGTGATGGTGAGGAACTTGGAGCTGGTGCAGCATCCCTCCTGCCCCACAATATCAAGGCCAACTCATCTGGCCCATTCTCCTTGGGCTACTAAGCCATGAAGTATCATATGAGATTCCTTGTTCTCAAGATCCAGACAGGAATGGCCCAGGAAGGACCCAGGAGAAGACATCAGGAAGGACAGTAAGGAACAGACATGCGGTCGAGCCATTAGTGGCATCCATGGTCAAGATTTCTAAAGGACACCTGCATCGGGCAAAAAGAATCCAAAGGTGCCTTTCTGTGACACAGGTATGCCCTTGGACCGTAGCCGTATTACCGTTTGCCCAGGTGTAAAAGGTACCTGTTACACTAGGACAGGCCTTCCCCCTTGTGTAAATCAGGCCCACTGAGTTTTGAATGATTCCTTACTGACCTTCTTATTACCATTTACCCAGGTGTAAAAGGTTCCTGTTACACTAGGACAGGCCTTCCCCCTTGTGTAAATCAGGCCCACTGAGTTTTGAATGATTCCTTACTGACCTTCTCCAACGCTCCGTAAGTCCAGTCTCGGGTCCTTTACCTAACCAAGCAGTTTTTCTTTCTTTCCAGGATTGAGGAAAGAGTCTGTGTAGAAAGACATCAGACCTTTAAGAGAATGGATCCGATTTCTCAGGATCTGAGTGGTTTTTTCCTACCGATCTCCCTCCATGGGGTGAGAGATGATGCTGCACCTGATCTCCACCACCCCAAACGGACCCGTCCGGCACACACCCTTAATAAAGCTTTTCTATTTGGTTTATCATTAAAGTATATGAGGTATATGGCGGGCTATCTCCAAAGAGCTTTGTGGTGGATGTCTTGGCACTATACGGGAGCGAGGGGACTAGCCGGCCCTCTCTCCCCCTTGTGCCCTCCCAACCCTGGGTCGGGCACTGGCGTGGAGGCGTGTGAGCAAATATTTGGTTATACAGCTGTACTTTAAAGCTTGTTTCCTTCTTCATTCTAGAAACATCCAGGAGTCGGGGAGGTGGGCAGGAAAGAGAGATGTGACTGCTTTTCAAAGAGGCAGGAGCAGCATTTTCCAACATTTCTTTGCTCTCATGAGCCACTTGGGGAAACACATGGACTAAAAAAGGAAGGCCGGTTACGGCCCGTGAATCACCCTGCTGCATAAAAGCAGGGACCAAATTACACCCCAATACCAAGTCGTTTTGCTGTAAAACGTCAAAAATCGTTTTCCCTCCCCAAGTTGCACATCGAGTCCTTTAAGAAACTCCATGAAATACAGTCACGGGTTTTGGGAAGAGGCGGCAAGGGAAAATGGTGAAGATACCCCATGGCTTGCCCTCTGCCCACGATCGCAAAACCCACCGTCTCTCATTATTTCCATTCCTAAATCTGGAAAGAGGCAATAGGGGTTTACTCCACCCCACCCCAAGCTGAACATAATGAGAGTCTGGTAGTGCTTTTCAGTGTACACCCCTCTGTCTCTTCGACCCAACTTGTCACCTCTGGTCGAGCAGCTGGTTTCCGAACAACAAAAGAGGAACGAGTAGCACCCACACTATCAAGAGTCCTTCCTCTTTCAAAACACCTTCAACTCTCTGAGAAAGGAAACACCCATCCCCTGCTTAACAGCCAACAACGTTCATATACTTCTCATCTTTTCCTTTGTTGGTTTGCTCCCTCCACGCCATTCACCCACCACTCAGCTCCACAGATGGAGATAGGGTCATTTTTGGTCTAGAATCAATTTAAAAAAAACACGTTTTGGTTTTTGTTTCTTTTTTTGTTGATTTTTGTTTAGTTTTTTTTCCTTTTTTATCTTTTTTTTTGTCGCAAACCCATAGCGTTTGTTTGGGTTTTTTTGTCTTTTTTTTATACAGTAAGAAGCAATAAAGCGGAACATAGACTTTTCTCTATAAAAAAAAATAGAAGGTACCCCCCAAAAGAAGTATTTCTTTTTTAAAAAAAAGAAAAGGAAATAACAAATATCACTAAAACAGTTACATTCCACCTAGTAACACGTTCAGTAGCACATGAGCGAGAGAGACAAGAGAGAGAAGGAAAGAGACATTGACCTCCCAAATGTTTTCTTTCTTTCTTTTTCAGATGTCCACCATAATCACATGATTTGAATCTAAAAAGAGATGGATAAATACTGCCAGCTCTCTCTCACTCACGCACATAATGGGGTGAAAAAAAACCTTTTTTTTTCCAAGTCAGTTTTTTTGAAACTAGGTGTGGTTTTGGAAAGTTTCACAGTATTTTTTTTCTTTTGTTATCTCAAACCCACCTGAACGCTATAACACAGCAAAAGCAGGAGATAAAATGAGGTCAAGGGTTTTTCCCTCCCTTTAAGAAAGGCTTCAAAGTCCTTTTTTTTTAGGTTGCTTGTTTATCTTTTTTTTTTTCCACTTTGTCCTTTTTGTACAATTTTTTGTTTGCTTGCTTGGTTTATTTTCGACCGGATCGCTGTATGCCATGGCTAACTTCCTTCTCTGCAACAGCACGACTTTGGTTCACAGGAGTTGAAAATAAAAGACAAAACATTCAAAGAGCCCCCAAAACAGCAAGTAAAACCCCTTAAAACACATTAAAAGAATCCCAAAGCAACCAGTTTTTAAAAAAGTAAACCCCAAAAAAAAAATTGTACAAGAAAAGGTTAAAAACAAAATAAAAAGAGCGTTTTGAGAAGCCGTATTTAAAGCTTTCCAGACTTGTGGGAGGAAGTTTGAGGAGCCTCTGTACTTCGACCTCCCACTCCTATTGATTTGGTTTATTTTTATTTAGTTATTTATTTACGTAGTTATTTATTTATGTCTCTTTGCCACTTACAAAATTTTGGCTTCTCAACGCAACTTTCCATGAGGTATTTTTGTTCAGAACAGAGAAAGATGGTTGAGCCATTTGTCTAACCAGAGAAAGTAAAGATTTCCCCTTTATTCCCACATGTCTTCATCCTTTCTTCTTTAATTACAGTTTTTTTTTGTTTGCTTGTTTTAGGTTTCTTTGTTCACTTGGTAGGTTCTTTTTGGTTAAAAGTTTTTCTCTCACCTCGGAGTCTCTGCAATATCCACATAAAAGGGGGCATTTTCTCCCTTTTTTGCAGTTTTCTCTTATTTTTTTCCCCCAGTGGTCTTCATTTTGTTATTTTCTGTAGTGATATCTATCAATTTTTGGTTTTTTTTTCTTTCCTGGAAAATGTAAAGAATACTGAAATTCCTGTTTTTTTGTGTTTTTTTGTTTTGGTTTTTGTCAGGCACTGGAATATGAGTATTTTTTTTTTCAGAACACAGATACAAAAATAATAAAAATTACACATCCCCTGTTTTCAGAAAAATAACCCCTGATATTAATCCCAGGCGAAAATCAACTTTTAAAAGGAAAACAAGTTGACAAGATAAATAGGGGGAAAATTAATAAAACCGGGAAAGAAAATGTTCAAGTTGAAATAACAAAACATACATGTGTTTAGTACTCCCTATCCTGAAAAGAGCTGAAGATTGAGATTTTCAAGGCCTCCTGCACTGGGATTTATATTTACATTTTGTACGGGGGGGGGCAGGTCAGCAGGTGGTAATATTACCCCTAATGAATTTACTTAATTAAATTCCTGTTGGAGCACAATAGTGGAGGTGATGTAGACAAAATACCACCAGGGCTCCATCTTTGTTCGATACCTTATATACCATAAGTCAGAACTGTAGGGTGGGAAATGGTATAAACAGTTTTTTTTTCCCATTTCCCTCTTATTTTATGAAGCTCATTGTGCAAACAGGTAGAAGTTCGGATGCAAAAGTCATCGCAGGACGTCAAATTAGGAAACCAGTTTCTGTAACGGGGGAAACGTGGTGCCCAATTCCCAACAGTGCCTTTGAAAATCCTAGCCTTCAAATCTAAGGAGAATCTCCACAAAATGATAAAAGCTTCTTATTTGTTTCTTATTCACAAGAAAAAGAAAGAAAGGGGGAAAAAAAGAAAGCAATTAACATTTTTTTAAAAAAGAATATTTATAGCACGAACCTGAAATTAAACCAACCCAACCCTCCCCTACCAACCCTTCTAGATCCCAAAGAAAAGAAAAAGAATAAATAAGAATAAATAAAAAGAGTTTTTGAAAGACATTCGACCAGACACAGAAGTTAGAAAAGTCTGTAAAAAGCTTTGGGTGAAGCTAGGACTGGTGATTTTTTGGTGTGAGATTGATTTCCCCTTAAGGATTTTAAAGGTGTTTTTTTCTTTTTCTTTTTTCTTTTTTTCTCTTTTTTTACAAAAAAAAAAAAATAGCAAACCTCTCCCCATTTCTTTGTTTCCTTTCTGGTACTGTCCAGGAAACTAGCAGATGAAAAATAAAGAGAAATGAATTAAAGAGCGATATCCCAAATAAAGGACTGGCAGCCACCTTTTGCAAAGTGTTTTGTTTTGAGTATCAGAGAGGAAAAAGAAAAAAGGAAAAAAAAAACGAACGCCAACAGTTTGGGGAATTCTTTTTGGTTTCTTCCGATAGTCCCTTTTTGCTTTGCTTTGTTTGGTTCCTTTGGGTTATTTTTTGGTTGGTTTTTCGTTTGGCTGTTGCTGACAATTTTTTTTTTGTTTGGTTTGGTTCTCTCTTTTATTTTTTATTATTATTATTTTTTTGGTTTCACTTGTTGGTTTTGTAGGTCCGCTCTTTGCCAACCCCACCATGTCAGGAAAGGCAGTGAGAAGGCTGCTGGATCCTCAGCCCTTTACTCCGTCTTGGCATCTGGGTCAGTGGATCCGGGACCAGCCTGCCCCAGAGTCTGCGCCACGTCACTGGAGGAACTGCATGAGGAACAGGAGGAGGAGGAAGAGGAGGAAGAAGAGGAGGAGGTCAGGGTAGGAGACTTGCTGGGCATGGAGGCAGCCACGGCAGCAGCTGCCGAGACCAGCCCCACACCTCCCGGGGTAGCACTCAGCAAGGGCAGGCCTGCGTGGTTGAGGAAGAGCGGTGAAGTCACGATGCTCTGGCTCCCGGCTGTGCCTGCGGTGGTACCCAACACCAAGTTGCCACTTGCATCAAGGCTGGTAATCGGCAGACTTCCACCACTGGCCAGGGCTACAGAGAGGGAGGAAGAAACACTAGTTAGGGTCCAGCGTGCACCAGCTTGTTCTTTGGGGCAACTGGCCCAGAGAAACCAGAGAACCCTTATGGCTCCTCCTTTGAAAGGGTCATCTCATGTTAGACCTAGGCTCGAAAATCATGTGGCCTGTAGGCCCACGTGACACACCCTGCTCCCATGCAGTAATTTTGTTTCAGGCCCTGGAGAAAGCGGGAAATTTTGCTCAATTCGCAGCCCTCCCCAGCAAAAACATGAGAGAGCCATGCCTCTGAGCATCACCGTCTCCTCTAAAGAAAAAAAATGTGCCTGCTGAATCCCCACACCGTTTCAGCAAACCAAAAAACAAATCAAAAGAAAAAATCTGTTTAAAAAAAAACTAGACTTAAAGAAAACCCTTAAAGTCATTTTCTAGTTACAGTGGTGCCTCTCTAGACAATGATAATCCATTCCACTGAAATCGTTGTTTAGCGAAATCATTGTCTAGCAAAAAACATTTCCCCAGTGGAATGCATTGAAACCTGTTTAATGCATTCCAATGGGAAAGAATCGTCGTTGTCTAGTGAAGATTGGCCATAGGAAAGCCACTTTGCGAACCGCCGATCAGCTGTTTAAATTGCTGTCTTGCGAAGCTTAGGTCCGCGAGCGCAGAGGGAGCTGTCAAAATCGTCGTCTAGAGAAAATCAGTTTGCGAAGCAGGGACCAAATACTGTCCAGCGAAATTCTCCCATAGGTATCACTGTTTTGCGAATTGCTATAGCGATCGCAAAAAGCCAATGTCTAGCAAAAAAAACTGTCATGCGGGGTAAACTGTCTAGTGAGGCACCACTGTATTTGTGAAGAGGGCTGCAGCTTAGTGATACAGCATAAGCATTACATGGGAAAGTTTGCAGGCTCAATCCCAAGCATCTCCAAATAGGGACAAGAAATAACCCTGCCCAATATTTTGGAAGACGAGGACTGCCAGTAGGAGTCGGTAATACTGGGCTAGATAAAGGTCTGAGTCAATAGAAGGCAAATCCCTACATTCCTACATTCACTTCTGGGTTTATACAGAGAGGTTGGCCCCAGGACCTCCAAAGTTTTTCCCACCTCTGTATTAGCTCATTCTTGTATCTTCAGCTGCCGCTTGGCAGCTATACATGTATCAGGCGGGCGGCCCCACTGCTGAAATGGCATTGCCCCACAGCTCTGCTACACCTCACCACCTCCCTCCCCCAAACACATTTCATACAGAAAAGACAGAATGGCACATAGCAAGAGAGGATGAATGAGGAAGGATTAGGAGGCATGATGTGGAAGATGGGCGTTATGAAACATGAGGCTTTCTACTGCTATAGACAGGCTGAGGAATGGATGGAGATGTGACCTCAAGAGGAAGGAAAGCAGGCTCTGTGGGACTCCACTGGCTTGCAGCACTCTTGCACATTCACACCACATTTGCACAGCACTTCTCGCGCATCTTCACTTGGACATATACAAGTTTTATTCTTCAAGTTGGAAAAGGACCTACACAGAGGCATTTTGGGAGCCAGGACAGCTCATGAGAAGATCTGCGGCTCTTTGGTAGAACATATCCTTTGCCTACAGAAGGTCTCCAGGGTTTATTTCCTGGTTCATTTTCTGCAGCACTACTTCAAATATTCTCAGCGTATTGGAAAACCCTCTGCTTGGAGACCAAAAGCGGAATGGACAATGCCAGACTCAACAGAACTCTTGATCTTGCTCCATAGACGGAAGCCTTCTCTCTCTCTGTCATGTGTGTCTTCGCCAGCTGAGCAAAGCCTTACCAGCCATGTAGTGGGGTTCAGCGCGCTCCTTTTCTGCCAAGGAACCGGTTGCATCTTAGGAGCAGCAGCAGAGATGGGAATAGCACAAAATATGAGTCCTTGCTATCAGATTGACATTTAGATCTTATGAATCTGGCATCAACCCCTGGCTGAAGAATGATGTCTCAGAATAGATGGGCAAGAGGAATATTATTTCCTCAAGATCTCCTCTCCAGTTACATGTTCACAAAAGAACATGTGACCATTAGAAAAAAAATATTTTTAATGTTTCAGTCATACAATCCTCTTTCTACCTTATATTTGGACAACAAAATGCAAACAAAGATGGTGCTTAACTCCTGGTGACTAATTAATTACAAAAACAAGCTAATTTTTCAGCACCTGTTTCCAAACAGTAGAAATCCCTTCCAGGAGAAGCTAGACTGGCCCTCTCCCTGCTGATCCGTCTCTAGTGGAGAAACTCTTTTCTCCTCAGGTAAGCGTTTGGCAGCTGAACACGCTGGGAAGAAAGGGGCTTTCATGGTAGATTTCACCACTTTTCTTTTTAAACGCTTTAAATGCGCACCAACACATTACATGCCGTGAAGTCAATTCTGACTTACTGTGATCCTTTCCAAGGTTTCCTTGGTATAGAGTATTCAGAAATAGTTTACCATGTCCTCCTTCTGGGGGGAAATCCTGGAACGCTGCAGCTTGCCCAAGGCTACCCAGGCTGGCTCTTCTTCCTGGAGATACAGTCAGGAAACAAACCCCCAAACTCTGACTCTGAGGCCAAGGCACCCAACTCAGTGAGCTTCCCAATAAATTCTGATCTATTTTATTTTTACATTATGTATACCTTTACTGTACAATTATATGATATTCAATATTTAAGTTTACACACTAAGTAGGCCAAGTGTATCCAAATTAAAAATATTACCTAGTCTTCACGAAGGCTTTCACGACGGGGATCCGATGGTTGTTGTAGGTTTTGGGGGCTGTTTCTCCATGTTCTGAAGGTTTTTCTTCCTAACGTTTTGCCAGTCTCTGTGGCCGGCATCTTCAGATGAGTCAGAACACAGAGTTTCTAACGCCTGTCCTCTGACGATGCCGACCACAGAGACTGGCAAAACTTTAGGAAGAAAAACCTTCAGAACATGGCCAAACAGCCTGGAAAACCTACAACAACCTATTACCTAGTAGTTTCCCTCAGTTCACTTCTTGCTTGGGTGATGATGTTACATGGGTTTGCCTCGCTGTAGATGGTGCTCTGAAGATATTCAGGATATCTGTGTCCCAACAAATTTTTTTGAAAAGCTCCACTTTCTGAGAATATGCTTACTTTGTGTATAGACTAAATTTTACCTCAGTTTTTCTGATATGCGTTTTGTCCTGTTTTTTTTGTGTGTGCCTCCATTTCCAGCCAGAAAGGAACAATGTGTATCAGAGGGAATGCTGGGGGTGGGCAATGTTGAAGGACTGGCAACACTTTGATTGCCAATATTGGGACAGATATTCTAAAACAAACCAGCAGAAGTGAAATCCGAAACCTACAACTCTGACATGAGTGTGCAGACCCCATTTTCACGCTGGCTTGGATAGCTCAGTATCTCGCTGTGGAACCAGAAGTTGGGAGTTTACCTCTTGTGAGTAGAGTCAACTTGTGATCCCCCTGTGTTTGTGGTGTTTAGGGGATCTAATAAAGGTATTACCTATTCTTGCCTTTGGACAAGGACCACACACCTGCTGTAATGCTCTCTGCTCATCATCATTGGCATCCTTCAGTCTCGAGAGACTATGGGATCGTGCTCTGCATGGAGGACTTGGAACAGCATCTAGTGTGGCTGAGAAGGCCAATTCGAGAATGACCATCCCTTCCACACTGAAGACGAATCCAATCTGTCCCCTGTCCAGCTCCCTGGTTTTGCTGCTTTCGTGACTGCCTCTTTGCCTCAGCCTGCTGGACAAGGGTCTCTTCAAATTGGGAGAGGCCGTGATGCACCGCATGCCTCCAGGCTGAACGCTCAGATGTCAGGGTTTCCCATCTGTTGAGATCCATTTCCAAGGCCTTCAGATCCCGCTTGCAGATATCCTTGTATTGCAGCTGTGGTCTCCCTCTGGGGCGCTTTCCCTGCACTAATTCTCCATACAGGAGATAATTTGGAATCCGACCATCAGCCATTCTTGCAACATGCCCGAGCCAACATAGGCGTTGCTGTTTCAAATAGTGTATACATGCTATAAATTCCAGCTCATTCTAGGACTACTCTATTTGGAACTTTGTCCTGCCAGGTGATACCAAAAATGTGTCGAAGGCAACGCATATGGAACGTGTTCAGCTTTCTCTCCTGCCGTGCATGAAGGGTCCAGGACTCACTGCAGTACAGGACTGTGCTTAACCATAAATGCCATCTACCTTGGGAAGTTCAAGGATTCAAACCTGCCTGGAGGTTCTGATAACTTGAATAGTAACCTGTCTCAAGGTGAGATGTAGTAAGGATGTAGTGGTCTGCACATTCTCAAAACTGGGCCTCCAGGTCACCTTTCTCGAGATGCCGTAAGAGTTCAAAAAAAGCCCTCTACATTCACACAAATTAGCCAAATCTTTGTTGCATAGTTGTCTTGGCACAGTAGGAATGATGCCTCTGGCAAGTGGCAAATTGCCACTAATTAAAGAGTCCCTGCTTTATTGCCAGGTTGTGGGGCACTTCTTATTGTCTGTGAGATGGAGACAACTCAAAAGCAATTGAGGTCTTTCCATAGGTCTTTCCAGACTATATCTGCCGTATCACATATTGAGTATCACCTAAAAATAAAGCAAATCAGCTGTTTTAAAGAATGTTTTTCTCTTATGCAGATTTCACTGATTCACGGAGTAAAATGATAAGTAATCATTTCCATTAGGAATCAGTTAATGTATCTTCTGTCAGATGACAAATTTAATGTAGAGCCAGGCATGGGAGCACTCTCAGAATTTCCCACATCCTCAGGATAGTTTCTCCAGATATTCAGCATTCCGTTTTGTGCACATCACACACAGACTTACATTCATGCCTTTTGCAATGCACGGAGACAAAATGCTCACTCTTTGCGCAGACAGGCCAGTGGAGTGAATGGGAGCAATGACATAGTGTGTGATCTTTTCTTCCACAAACCTTGTATGGTGGCCAGCGGGTTGGTGGCCATTAGCGCTGGGTTTAACCCTGCATTCACCCCTAGCACTGTGCTTCTGAAATCAAACCAGATGCAAGCAAGTTAAAGGGAGGGAGGGAGAGGGGTCTATAATGGGAAACATGAAAGTAGGGAGGGGTGGCAATGCTTTTCAATATCCTTTTTGAAAGAATTTACCAACATCTCTAAACGTCTTCCGATTCAGACAGAAACAGTGACATTGTTAAAATTCTCAGGTCTCTGACTGTCAAACCCTGTCAGTGTGCTGAACTGCAGTATAAAATCTTTTCTTTTTCTGAGAAATTCCTCATCCACAAGGCAAACATACTTAGCTGTCTCCAAGATAGCTAGCTATACATGTGTTGAATTAAGCTGGTGCAAATGGAAGATAATTTTATTATTGAAGAATTTATCAAAGTTCATTTCTTCATATTTTGAACGGAAAGACCCCGACATTTTAAAAAATGGGGTGTGGAGAAAGCAAAAAACTGCCAGATTTCCTGGCACCTCCACCCTACCGTAATTCCCATCTCCTCTCCCCAAGTTAACCAGGACTGTAGTACCAAAACACATCTCAAAATGCTTTGATGGACATCCATATCAGGGGGTTCCACTATCTTTGGTCAGTTCTAATTCCCTTATAGTTTTGGAATTTATTTAATTAATTAATTAATAGATTTCTATCCCGCCCTTTTAGATAAAGTCTACTCCGGGCGGGTAACCCCCTTTGTGTGAACTTATCGGCAACCCCTTCAAAGCTGGCTCTTTTCAATTCTTTGGGATTGGTGAGCCTCAGACCATCCTTGGACCAGCTCAGGAACCTGAACACGTACCATTTTTCTTTCCCACCACTTACCCCGTACTAGGATTCAGGCTTTGCAAGCTGATCGCTGGGTGACTGGTGCTCTGGGGGCTGGGATTTGTGCTGTTGCTCGGGGGCGGTGTGACAGAGTTGAGGGTGGTGCCCCCAGCTCCCACCGCTGTCCGGCTGGGGGTCAGGGAGCAGATTGTTGGGGACAAGGTAGTAACTGTACAAAGGAAGGGCAAAGGAGGTTAAATAAGGTCTACTCTGACAGTAGTCCCGACACGGGCCCACAAACCCCGCTGACCACTGATAGTCACCACCAATCCTGCCTCTCGTTCAGTATTAAGAACATCATCTCTAAAATTGTGCTGAGCTTTGAAGGTGCACAACCCGATGCGATGCATCAGTGTCCCAGGAAAGATACGTGCGCATGGATGCAGTTTTGGGGATGCGGCGTACTCTGCTAATGCTTCTAGCAAGCACAGTTGAAGTCCCCATCAATCTCTTTTGTTCAGGAAGGATCTGTGAGCTTCTCCGTGAAGCTAGAGGCTGGCTTCTTACCCTCACTAAAGGGTGTCTCCCGTTAGAACGCAGAGCACGGCTGACTCCGTCCTCTCCACTTCCCAAATGCTTCGTTCATTCCCAGCATGGCCCTTTGTTGGCATGTTTTATGTATGGGAAGCAGTTGGCTGAAAGGGTGCTACAAGCAGTCAGACACAACCCTGATTCTATCCTTCCTCTGTCTGAGAACATTCACTGTGGTCACTTCACCCTCCCATCCTCCCTGTTCCAAGAGTCCAGTGTCCTAGGTCAGGGAAGGGGAATAGGAACCGAGGGGTCATGGGCCCTCCGGAAACAGCAGTGGAGCAAGTTTCTGTGTTTACATGAGCAACCCTTGATTGCAACCGTGTAACGGCACCATGCTGCCCTGAACACTTCTGATACTCTCAGATATCAGCAGCTGAGCAGGATCAGGCCTGGTTAGTTCCTGGATGGAAAACCACCTTGGAATAGCAGGAATCTCCCGCCTCCCATCCTTGCAAACGGCTGAACTGACAATAGTGGTATAGGTGGACCAATGATATAGCTCCATATAAAGCAACTTGCTATGTTCCTGCACCTGCTGGTAAATACTGTATGCACAAGGAATTGTTTCCTCGCATGGAACTTTTAGCCTACTTCCTTGTAATACTTGGTGCCTTTTCCACCAGGAGTGAGTCCTTTTTCTGTCCCAAGGTGTTCTGACCGGGGCAGGGGGAGGCAGTGGCAGAGGGCAGTTAAAATATCTGGTAAGCTTTAGCCGTCTTTTCAAACATGGTGTCAGCTCAAGCATCAGAATGTCCGTGCATGGTGGTACCTATTTATCTACTCGCATTTTACATGCTTTCCAATGGCTAGGTTGGCAGGAGCTGGGACAAGCAACGGGCGCTCACTCCGTCGCGTGGATTCGATCTTACGACTGCTTGGTCTTCTGACCCTGCAGCACAGGCTTCTGCGGTTTAGCCCACAGTGCCACCACGTCCCTTTCAAACTTTTAGCCTACTTCCTTGTAAAACTTGGTGCCTTTTCCACCAGGAGTGAGTCCTTTTTCTGTCCCAAGGTGTTCTGACCGGGGCAGGGGGAGGCAGTGGCAGAGGGCAGTTAAAATATCTGGTAAGCTTTAGCCGTCTTTTCAAACATGGTGTCTACTCAAGCATCAGAAGGTCCATGCATTTCTGTGCAGAGCAAGTCATCCCAACCCACTCAGGATCTTGATCTCTGAGCATCCTGCATTGAGTTGCACTAGAAGGAATTAAAGCAGAAAGCTCAAGCATCAGAATGTCCGTGCATTTCTGTGCAGAGCAAGTGCCGGATCATCCCAACCTGCTCAGGATCTTGATCTCTGAGCATCCTGCTCTGAGTTGCACTAGAAGGAATTAAAGCAGAAAGGAAAGAAGAGGGAAGCGCACTGCTGAAGGATGATTACCTGTTGTGCTGAGACTACTGGAAGCCTGGGAGAGGGGCAGACTTGAGCCGGTGCCTGGGCTGGTCACCTGGAGGAACAAAGCGGGGGTGGTGGTGGTAAAAATAACGTCACAGAGGCACAGACAGAAGGACATCACCTGTTTCTAGCCCTGGCCTGGTTCACTCTTCCAGGGTAGCAGCAGCGTCCTCGCAGCTCTCCTCCTGAGTAGTCCCCCTCCAGCCATTCCTGTCTCTTGGGGGAGAATGCTATGTGTTCAACACAGCTTCTTCTGCATGCCCTAAAGTGGCCCAGTGTTATCAGGTGTGCTGCCATCTCATTGCCAGCGTGGAAGTCTGGCTCAAAGCCAGCCTACCGGCTTCTGTACACCGAAAGGGCCATCTCGTTCTCTCCATCAAGCAACAAACAGTCAGCCCCCAGCGCTACAGACAAGCGGTCTGCTGTAGACTGAACAGCAGAAATGGATCATGCATGGAGAGAGTGGTGGGGATGAGAGAAGAAGACATGCAACCGTAGGCACAGGGAGGGTACCCGAGGAAGATGTTTTCCACCAGGCTTAGCATGAATGGGCAACTTTGGTGCATCTCAGGGCCCATTCTGTGTCCCTGCTCATGACAGCAAGCAAAATGTCTGTGGTCATTTGTCCTTCTGAGTGCTGCCAAAACATGGCCACACAATTTGTTGCTCAAGATCAGTGGTGCCGTTCGCAGGGGAAGGAACTGCAAGGAGCTCACAAGATATAGGTCGCCCTCCATAAGGTACTGGATTGATGAGAGGCTTGGGCGATGGGAGGTGGAATAAATAAGTATGTGTATGGAGCCAGATTACAGGTGCAGTCGCAGTGGCCCCCAACCTTGGGTCCCCAGGTGTTTTTGGACTTTAACTCCCAGAAATCCTGGCCAGCAGAGGTGGTGGCGAAGGCTTCTGGGAGTTGAAGTCCAAGAACATCTGGAGGCCCAAGGTTGGGGACCCCTGCAGTAGGGGACCAGAAGCTGGGCAGAGCGGTAGAGAAGGATATGAGGAGGACCAGGTATGCACCAGCGTAATAGAAAATATAAAGGAAGGAAGGTAGGAGGTTATGTACTCTATGGTGAGGGGATGTGGGAAAGTGAGGCGAGCACGCTCCAGCAAAGGTGACTAAAGGGGCGTCTTTTGGATTGTGCAAAGCAAAGCTAGAAGAAACCAACACTGGCATATTCCAACCCAAGACGATACTTTGCTAGAGAGGTTTTAGAAAAAGTAGCCGCATCAGGCCGTCCGGGCATATGAAGCAAAAATAAAAGAAAAAAATAAAGCAGACAAAAACCTGCGGCCCTTTAAAGACTGCTTTGTTTCCAGGGACAGCGCGTCCGAGGAAGTGGACCTGCTCACAAAAGCTTCCATTAAAATACAGCTGTTAGTCTTTAAGGTGACACAATGTTTTTGCTTACTTTCATTTTTTAAAAATTTCTCTTTTGGTTTTGGCTTGAATGGCCAGAGAAGGGGGTGGGGGGGATACGGCCTGCAAGGAAGGTGGCCCCCAGGACGCTTCTTGCAGGGAAAACCTAATGCAGGCACAGCATGGCACAAAGGGGTTCTCGCAGTTTGTATGGGAAGGCAGGAGAAAGAGGAGGAGGAGATTGGTAAGGACCGTACCATGTGAGGGCTGTAGCCCGGAGGCTTGCCCTGGGCAGGCAACATGGGAGCAGAGCTGCAAGGGTTGATCCGCTTCTCCTTCTGGCGGCGGTTGCAGAACCAGACGCGAATCACCTCTTTCTCCATGTTCAGTTGCTCGGCAATAAGCAGGATCTCCTCTGAGGTAGGCTTCTGGTTCTGCAGTTGGGGGGTTGGGGGGGCAGAGGGAGGAAGGCGGGGGAGAGGGTGGTGTGACATCGTACATGCAATGGGGCAAGTGAAGGCATGAAGCTCATCAAGCGCCAAAGTAAAGGTAAAGGTAAAGGTTCCCCTTGACAATTTTTGTCCAGTCGTGTTCGCCTCTGGGGGGCGGTGCACATCCCCGTTTCCAAGCCATAAAGCCAGCGTTTGTCCAAAGACAATCTTCCGTGGTCACATGGCCAGCACGACTAGACACGGAACACTGTTGCCTTCCCACCGAGGTGGTCCCTATTTATCTACTTGCATTTGCATGCTTTCGAACCGCTAGGTTGGCGGGAGCTGGGACAAGCGACGGGAGCTCACTCCGTCGCATGGATTCGATCTTACGACTGCTTGGTCTTCTGACCCTGCAGCACAGGCTTCTGCGGTTTAGCCCGCAGCGCCACCACGTCCAAAGGCCAACACAATATGTTGGAGTCTGTTTCGTTCATTTTAAAGCATGTTCCACCAGTCCTCAAATTATCACTCAAATCTGACACAGCAGGCAGAACTAGAAAGGACAAAAGGATGAGGGACTGTTGTCACTCTGTGCCTCTTAGTGTCACTTTGGGTCAGGCTAGGCTTTAAGGAAAACATGGACTAATCTATTTCTCTCCCCCCCCTTCAATTTCGTCAGGAATATGTGTCTGAGCAAACAGACTTGCAAATTAAGTGCATATTTTTGTTCGAATGACCAGGCAGGTCACAGGCGAAGCACGATGAAACAAAGCATACTAACTGCACAATACTTAAGAGAGGAAAAATTGTGTGCTATGACAATCATTTTTCACTACTTGGAAGAGCACCTCTTCTAAACAGCGCTAAGTATATCATCTAGTCACTAGATTTGAGTGCATTGACCTGAAACTGCCAATGATGCTAAATCTAAGTCGAATAACTGATTGACATCAACTGTAAATAGATTAAAAGGACCTTTAAAAGTGCCAAATGCAATAAATAACCAGTCTTGGGTTTGAGAAGCCTGGGCTTCAAATCGCAGCCCAATCGAAGCACAGCAGGAAGGCCAGCCTACTTTCTCAATCTATTATCTGTTTGTCTGGTGCAATGTCACCCACTTCCTCCAAAACCATGCAGGGTGAATTATAAATGGCTTTTATATTTTTATTCTCACACCAGGACTGTGAGCCAGGATCAGCTGAGAGATACTGACAGCTTTGAAGCCACTCAGTGCATTTCACAAGTGGACAGGAAGTTGAACCCCACAACGTGTTTAACGAAGCAAGCAAGAAAGTGCAAGGCTTTAAATGATGGTGTAAATTTGTTTCCCACCCTACTTCATATCTTCAGGGCAGCTTATCTGAACCTCTCTAGGTCCGGAGGAGAAGACACGGTATGGTTTTGTTGGAGGCTTTGGAGACTGTTACGGAGGGTCTTACCGCGAGAAAGCTTTTTTCCAACGCAAAGCGGACATTGGTCTCAATGCTGGTCCGTTTCTTACGGCGCCGGCCCGGCAGCCCATCAAAGCCTAAATTAGGACTGCTCAGTTGGTTTGGGCTGGGAAGCGTGGAATCCACAGACATCGTCTCTGCAAGGTTGGCAGGGGGTCAGAGTTAATCCCTTCCTGTACATCACCTTTCCGTAAAACTAAGCAGGCATGCTGCCCTCACCTTACCCATGTTCTCCTCTTTTATCCCCCTCTTCACCCATCCTGGTTTCTACCCCTTAATTTTTCTCCCAATAAGGACCTCTCTTTCATCTCCTTGCAACACAAGCAGGTTTCTACTTGACTGGGCTTTAACCAACTTATGCATTGATTGTTTCCTAGCTTCAAAAAACAAACAAACAAAAAAACCATTAAAAACTTTCAAGTTTTATTATAGGGATGTCACTCATGTCTTGATCAAGCAAATCTGTAAAGATCATCTCGTCCCTACTCCTCTCCCTGCAAGAAACAGCAGGACCTTGAAGAACGTCTGAGGCCATAAAGCCGCCTTTCGCAGCCTAATGCTCCCCCCACCCTTGTGCTGAACCACAAATCCCATGCCATCTGGGGAGGATGGGGGTTGAGGTCCAACACATCTGGTCCATATCAACTTAGGAAAGGCTGCCAGAGCACTCTGTAAGGCCAATAGTTGGCATTCTTAGCTTGACAGGGTCCACATCCTGCCACAGGCTCCTTTCTAGGCCTGTTTAACCCTATCTGGCCCCTGTTATGCTGTTTTTAATCAGGACTTGTTGAAGACTATCAGCACTCCCTCAGGCTATGATGCCAGTCTTTTCTCTTCCCTCACATTTGCTCCTGTTCTCTCAGTGTCCTTCCTGTGGCATGAATGGACTTTAATTTCCCCTCATCACCACCTCAGCGAAGCCTTACCTTCTCTAGCAGGAAATACTCTGAAATCCTGAACTTCACTTTTCTTCTCGCCTCCAGTCCCACCCCACATCATCCTATATAACTCTTCCCCTCATCCTAAGGGCTTTTTCTTTTTTGCTTCCACTGGTGCCCCCCCCCCAGTTTGAGCCCGCCACAGCTGGCCTCACAAGGGCTTTTTTTTTTTTGCTTCCACTGGTGCCCTCCCAGTTTGAGCCCGCCACAGCTGGCCTCAGCTTCTTCTCCTGCCCTCCTTGTCGCTTACCAGCATCGTTGAGCCATTTCTCCAGCAGAGGTTTGAGTTTGCACATGTTCTTGAAGCTGAGATTGAGCGCCTCAAAGCGTGAGATGGTTGTCTGGCTGAAGTCATTCCCGTAAAGCTTCCCCATGGCCAGCCCCACATCACCCTGTGGGAAACAAGAGGTAGGGGTGGGAAGAAAAGGGAGTTAGTAAGGGTATGCTCAGGGTGTGTTACACAATTTCATGAGCATTCAGGTTGACGATCCACAGCATCCAGTGACATGAAAATCTCCGATTCCACTTAATTTAAAATGTCAGGTTCTGAATATAGGGTTGAAACCAGAACTTGGAAAATAATATAATAATTGTAGAACTGCAGAGCTGGGTCATCGAGTCCACCCCCTGTGAAGGAGGCATAGTGGGGGAATTGAACTCTCAACCTCTATCTCTGCAGCCAGACACCTAAACCACTGAGCTATCCAGCAGTTACGTAGGTCTTTTTTTTAAAAAAAAAAAATTAAAACTCACGTACACACACAATAAGAACAGGAGACAGCTTCCCTCCATCTCCACCCTTCAATTCACATGCACACCAGGTATTGGAACAAATGCAGATCCCCTCATCAATTTCAACTCTCACTTAATTTTTTGAAGGGGCCTGTCCCTGTTCCTCCCGTTTCTTTGGTTCTTTTAACGTTTCTTACGCAGTTCTGCATTCACAAGTTGTTTGGCATTTGTGTGTTTAAAAACCCAACAATAACAGCAGTGGAATTGGGTCTGAGGAACGGCTTCCATGAGGGGAGGTCAAAGTCTGCTTTCTGGTGTCAAAGATGTCCAGCCGAATAATACGCAGCACATCCCCCTTTGCTTCACGCTGACAGAGAAGTGACAGAATAATTCTAAAGCACTGGCAGCTGATGCCCATCATGGTTGGTGGGGTGGAAGGCCCAGAAGAAACTAGGTGTTCTCTTATTTACCAACACACATACACACACATAAGCATACACAGCCAAATGCACACAAACATACAGGGAGACCATCTATTCAGAGCACATTATCATAGTCTCTTGAGACTGAAGGATGCCTACTTCCCCAACAATACCTCCACACTGAAAATGTGCGAAGAAGAAGGAGAACATTCAGCGCAACGCTAAGGGGAAACGAGCGTCCCACTCTTCCTCTGTGGACGAGCCCCACGCTTCATACCTGTGTGAAGCCCAGCTTGATACGTCGCTGCTTGAATGTGCGGGCAAACTGCTCCAGTTCCTCCAGGTCACTGGGCTCCTCGGGGTGGGAAGGGGTCTCCAGGCATTTGGGCGGCTGCGAGTGGGCGAGGTGGGACTCGGGGAGGCCAGGCCGAGTCACTTGCTAAGGCGGGAGAAGAAAAGGTAGAAGTGGTGATTCTTGTCAGGGTAGAGAGAGACACCAAAGGCAAGGCATCCAAGCACCACGTGCGGAGAAGATCTAATGACAATGGGGGGGGGGACACCTTTCTCCTGAGGAGGGTGAGCACTTTTCACCAGAGGTTTCATCAGCCGCTGCAGAAAGTGCCTCTCCTTCAGCAATGGTGGACCAAAAGTGTTCACTTACTGAAGGCGAGGGCACAAATTGCTGCGAACTGGCTTTGTAGCATCAAAATTAGTGGTGAAAGGATGCCAATATGACGGAGCCAAGGAGCGGTGCCTTTACAGTAATTGTTCCTGAACACGCTAGCCGAAGAATCAAGGCTCAGAACCTTGTTCCTCCCTCCCCACAAGAACTTGATTTGCTTTTACAGTGGCCAGTATCCTTGAAGGCGAGGGCACAAATTGCTGCGAACTGGCTTTGTAGCATCAAAATTAGTGGTGAAAGGATGCCAATATGACGGAGCCAAGGAGCGGTGCCTTTACAGTAATTGTTCCTGAACACGCTAGCCGAAGAATCAAGGCTCAGAACCTTGTTCCTCCCTCCCCACAAGAACTTGATTTGCTTTTACAGTGGCCAGTATCCTATTCTATTCGGTTTTGTGCCTTTTGGCAAAGACAAGAACCTGATTTGCTTTTACAGTGGCCAGTATCCTATTCATGCTGGTGTAACATAAAATTACCTCAGTGTCAACAAGGCAGGGCGTTATACCCAGCAACAAGGAACTGCACAATGCAATTGCGCAGTGAGTTGCGTGTCCCTGGCATGACCAATGGCACAATTCACCAGCAGAGGTGCTGTGGGGAGAGCACCCACCACCACAGCACTAATGCAACTACCTTGCACCTGCAATCTGAAGCTGCGTGCATTTAGTTGCACAACAGGATTTTGGCCCTCATCTGTTGTAACCATGACGGCGTTGTTGGTTTGCAGTTAATGCCTCATGTTTACAGAAATGCAGTCTACAGCTATATCAAAAAACACATTCATGCAGAAGACAGGAGTTTAGGGTAAAATTTATGACATATGTATGAACCATTTAGTATATATTGTAAATCGATATAGGGAGAGTAGAGGGGCTAATGAGGCTGGACTCTTTGTCTCCAAAGGGGGGAGGGGGTATTTTAGCTAGATTTTTTCCCTTTGTATACGTAGTCTGATTTCTTTTTTTGTTTCTGTCTTTTTTTTCTCTCCTTTTTGCCCTTTTTTGGTGTTTTTATGGTTTTTTGTTGCGGATGTACAGCTTAGTGCTGCAAAAATGGCAAAACTGCCATAAAGGAAGAAAAAGACATTTTGAGCAAAAAACAAAACAAAACACTTTTACACGTTTAAACATTTGAATGGATGGGGGACCTTAAAAAAACACATTCATCATAGAGGGAGAAAAAGACATTTTGAGGGGGGGGAAAAACACTTTTATACGTTTAAACATTTGAATGGATGGGGGACCTCAGAGGTCCAGTGGTGCAACGGGCATATTTCGGCTCCTCAGGGGATCCATATGCAGCACATGGGCCCATTTCACCCACCTCTGATACAGCCGCATTCAGGCATTCTGAGGCAGCTGAGGACACAAGGAATTCAGTCATCCTCGACATTCTCCTCAGATGCAGAGCGGCAATCTGAAGCCCTTTATGCCTCCTATAGGCATAAAGGCTCTCCACAGAATTCCAGATACTAGTATCTGAATCATGCAGAAAACCAACACACACAAGAAGAGGTTCTCCATTTGAAAACGTTACATCCAGGGGAGGAAGGAGAGTGATGCTGTAGTGGAGTGAGGCTACAGTATTGCCCCTCTCTGGTTGTTCATTTCATCTCGCTAAAGCCATCCAAAAAGGGCTTAGAAGAGCTGCCAGTTCCAAATCTTAAGAGACAAAACTGGAACGAGTGAATAAAACCTCCCAGGGCCCGAGACATGAACTCTAGACATCACGCCTATTTGGGTCTGGTCAAATGCCTTGATGGGAAAATGCCATGAATTCCCGGATGGATGAACGTGGGTACCTAAGTGCACTAAAATAACTAAATAATCCCTCTGTGGATCTTCTTTTACCTCCACCTCCATATAAGATTTAGAGCAACAGGTGGAACAGAACAGCCCTAGAAGGAATGGGTCTGTACATAACCAACGATATTTGCCAAACAAATATTCTAAGGAGGGGGTGGAATGGGTCTGTGAGAAAATAACCAACGATATTTGCCAAACAAATATTTGCCCTCCTTCCTCCCAAACGGCTTAACATCTGTGCAGACTGTACATGAAACTCCCGTCTTCCTCACCTGTGCTGGGAGTCCTGCTCGAGGCTGGTTCGGCAGGAGACTCCCTGGATTTTGCTGAGGTAGCTGAAAGAGATTTGGTGTCGGGAGCAGCCCTGTGGGGAAGAGAGGAAACCGACAGCTCACCTTCTTTGCACATCAACTTAAGAGTCTATCTACGCTACACAGAGGGAGGGTCATGATCCTGGCTCATCCTCATTCTGGGACTTGCCGTTTGGTGAGATAACGAACAGCTCACTTTATTTGCACATCCACTTAAGAGTCTATCTACGCTACACAGTGGGAGGGTCATGATCCTGGCTCATCCTACGGAATTCTGGGACTTGCCGTTTGGTGAGATAACTCTCTGTTATTTGGTCTGGATAGCTCAGTGGTTTAGATAGCTAGCTGTGGAGCCAAAGAATGGAAGTTCAGTTTCCCTCAGTGTGCCTCCTCTGAGTACAGCCAGCCTGTGTAGCCTTGGGCAAGGCGTCCCAAAGCTACCCTCAGAAGGAGGGAAGGGTTAGAACCACTTTTGAAGAATCTCTACCTGGAAAACTCTGTAAAGCAGTGGTCTCCAACCTTGGGCCTCCAGATGTTCTTGGACGTCAACTCCCAGAAATCCTGGCCAGCAGAGGTGGCGGCGAAGGCTTCTGGGAGTTGTAGTTCAACAACATCTGGCGGCCCAACGTTGAGGACCACTGCTGTAAAGGACCACCATCATTCAGAAGTGACCTGACAGCACACAATTAGGATTATAGAATGATTATAGAGTTCAAGGGTGGGCTCCAAAGATGTCTTAACAGAGGAAACCTAAGAACCTCACCAGGTACAAACCCCAGGGTTATTATAGCAGGGGTCCCCAACTTTGAGCCTCCAGTTGTTCTTGGACTTCAACTCCCAGAAATCCTGGCCAGCAGAGGTAGTGGTGAAGGCTTCTGGGAGTTGTAGTTCAAGAACATCTGGAGGCCCAAGGTTGGGGACCATTATAGGATGGCATCTTGAGGGTGGATCTACATTTTACAAGTTACAGCCGTGTGATTCCGCTTTAATTGCTATGGCGTCTATCATAAAGAATCTTGGTAGTTTGGCACAGAATTCTCTTGAGCTCTCGAAAGGGGTTGAGACCCGTGGGCCCTGCCAGCTGGGGATTACGAGAGTTGTAGCCTAATACGAGCAACCTTTATTGACATAAGACAAAGTGAGCAGGGAAATAAGGCACAAGGGGAAAGGGATCACAGGCGAATAGACAAAAATCAACATGAAATGAGGGAATACAACATGATAAGAAGTAATACATAATACCCGGGGAATAGGGTATTATTCCCTGGGAATTATGTATTATTTCTTATCATATTGTGTTCCCTCATTTGTAGTGTAATATCTCTGGAGGACACCAGCCTCAGGAAAGATGACACACACAGATACGCACACACACATACATACATATGCACATACACACGCACACACACACGGGTGCACCCCTTCTTTACCTTGCTGCCCCTGCTGGGCCTGTGGCAGCAGGAACTGTGCAGGCGGCTGGAGGTGATGCCCTGGAACCAGGACAAGCTGCTGGAGCTGCAGAAGCTGCTGGATGTCCTAAAGCAAAAAGAGAGAGAGAGAGAGAGAGAGAGAGAGAAGAGAACTCTTAGAGTTGTATCTACACATTACAGACTCTGTTTCTTAGTGTGTGTGTGGGGGGGGAGGTTAATGCTTATTTTCAGATCTTGGATAAGTGATTTTTAATTTTTGGACTACAGTTTCCATGATTCCCCCAAGCAAGCATCACCACCAGCCGCATGCTTCTTGGGTTTTATTGTCCCCACCCTCAAAAAAAAGGGGGGGTCTAAAGCTCTCTGCTGATTGAATTGTCCGGAGGAAGTCCTCCCAAGGATCTCGGAAACGGGAGTCTGGTGAGAGGGAGCTGGGAAGTCTCTCCCTCAGAACGACACATCCCATGATCCTGATGATTAGCCCAGCATAAATCAAAACGAGAGGCGGCTCCTAAGCCAAAGCCACATCCATCGAACCCACCGTTTTGTTACAAACATTTATGAATGCATTTTAAATTTAAATGAATGTGAGGCCACAGCTGTGTGGACTCCACTCCTGGGCTATGTAGCACACCTGTCACGGGTCAAATTACACATTACATTCTGCCACTATAATAAGGAGTTTCCTAAATTGACAACTGAGCCCTCTGTGTTGTGTGCGGTTTGTTTTCAGACTCTTGGTCTCGAGCACAAACGTGATTTCAGCGCCCACGGTGGGTTCTTCGTTAATGTGTAATTTGGCCCCGGATTCCGAACAGGGCCTCGGCAAGCTGGGCGCTCTGCAGACGGCCAAGCCCTTACCTGTGCAGTGAGCTGGATGGGCTGCGACAGGGCAAGCTGCGGCGTCTGGGGCTGGTTCTGCGGTGCCGACAGATCAGCCCCAGGCTGCTGAGAAGAGGCGGCGGCAGCGGCGGCGTTGGACTGCTGCACAGCAGCGGCCAGGAGCTGGGCTTGAGCCTGCTGTAGAAGCAGCTGCTGCTGGGCAGGCATCAGGGCGGTGAGCTGGGGGGCGGGTTCAGGGAGGGCAGAGGAGGCCCAGGAGGCGGCAGAGGACAGCAGGACCGACGGCAAGCCAGGAGGCAGGGAGACCCAAGCAAAGCGGTTTTTTTTTAAAAGGACAGGATGAAGGTGAGAAAGGGGAAGCAGGAAGGATGAGAAGAAGGAATAAAACATACAGTGAGAAGAAAGAATAAGCAGATTCATTGAGTCCTGCCCCGCCCCACCCTTCCACAGAGGCAAGCCAGAAATCAAAACAGACATGACGGAGAGGCCCGTGATTGGAAGCAGAACTGTCTCAAGCAGTAAAAGATGTCTGATTAACCTCTAAGGTCTTTCACAGCATTTCAAGGCACAAGTTGGCTTGCTGGGGCTCTGTGGCTGGTCATCAAAAAGGAAACAAGAAAACGAAGGAGATCTCTTTACGCCTTGATGGTGGAGAGGTCGTGGCTGTGCCAATATGGTTCGCCTCCTTTTAATTCCACCTAATTGAGAACCCATCCCTCTCTAGAAGCTACCCATCTATGTGTCTGTGTGTGTTTCAGCCCCAGTTCCCGGCGTGAATATACTAAAGCAAGTTACTCCGTAGCAGATGCTCCTATGTTTATTATTCATGCCCAGCAGGAAGCGTTCCATCAGGTGGATGAAAAGATGCTTGTTTCTTTTTTTTTTCTCCTCAAGGAACTGAGGGACAGAAAACGGCACATCTGTTGAGCTTCTCCTTGTCCACTAGTCATGGAACAGGAAGAATGAACAGGAAGTCTATTGGTAAACAGAGATTTACTAGGCTGGACGTCTCCTTCCCTTCTAGCAGCAACCACTATATAGTGCAGACAAGAATTCCTGTAGGCTTCTACTCACCCCGAAAGGGTTTCGTCTCTCAGAGGTGAGGTGAGGGGTGCAGTTTCAAAATCACTAATTTCCTCTTCCTCTTCTTTCAAGGTCTGCTTCAGAGACTAACCTGTCTGCCTCCCGCTTGCCATTTCCCCTATCGATATCCCAGCGCAGAAGTGAGCAAAGCGCACCTCTCCAGATGTTGCTGGGCTGAAATTCCTCATTACTCGCTGAACGTGCAAGGCCTGACGGGCGCTATAGTCCAAAAACATCTGGAGAGCCACTGTTGCCCTACCTCTGGCATAGGCAAACACAAACACACACACAACTCCTGTTTTCTTGCCTCACTCAATGCATTAGGGCCAGAGTCTGGCATGGACCTGTTACCCCTCTTATACTGGAGCAAAGTTTATGCAACCAAGAGTGAGAAGCTGTTATCTCAGGCTGCCTATCCTGAATAATGAAAAACGCCAAGACTCCTCAACTGCACTCCCATGTAGCTGCTGTCATGGGTCACTGGCAGGTTACTCTGAGCCTGATCTTTTCACGCATGGCTTCTTGTAAGTGCTTTTCTACCCTGGTGTGCGCCTACAAATCTAAAATGCAAATGCAACAAACACTGCTTTGGAAGAGAATATTTAACATTCGTGGATGCTCCTAAAAACATCACTATGTTATAAGCGTCCTTGTCAACCCTGGTTTATTGTTGCCCAATGTATGAAACGGCCTTTTGGATGCCACAAGGCGCCCATCCGAGAGAGGTCCCCTGCCATTTCCATAATGAAAGGCGAATTAAAGAGTTGCTTGGTCAGAACGGTTGCAGGTCGCATGCTTTTCCCCTTCCTGATTTGACTCTCCTTGCGGTCAACATGAACTCAGTGGTCTCCTTCCCAGAAAAACAGCCCGCACGTAATTTCCGTCCACTCCATTATACCCCAGGATCTGCAAAATCTTACTTACCCCAGCTAGCTGGCTGCCAGCTAACATAAGCTGGGCCTGGGGTAGATGCGGCTGCTGTTGAGCGGTGGGAGCTGGGGCTTGCACTGGAGCTGGAGGCATTTCTGTGGGGTCTTCGGCTTTGATCTGGAGGGAGGCGGGGGGGGGAGATGAAAGAGAATCAATACCCTTTCTAGTCTTGTGCAACAGGCATCCTTATGCTCTGGCAGCTGCTCTCTTCCTGGGCCAAACCTAGACGGTTTTCAATGCCAAATTTGACAGCCCTTCCCTTTTCAATTTTTTAACTTTCCAACAACTCCCCAACATCCCCACCCATCACCCTCAGAAAACATCCACGTCAAGTTGGCACCTGCAAGGGGAAAAAAAAGGAAGCAGACCCATGATAAAACTGACTTGCACAGGACAAGCTGAGCTACGTATGAACCCAAGGGCTACGTTTTAAGGATCCTGTTTTAAAATGCACCATCTTGGGTCACTGGAGGGAGAGGACCAGGTCTCCATGCACCTGAAGAACACCTGCCAAGATAGCATGTACTGCGTGCTAAGGAGGGGGGGGGAAATTAATCAAAAATTCCACCGAAAGGCTGAGCAAATTCTGCAGCTTGAATACATCATGCTAAGTAAGCACCTCTGCACATGTTTAATTCATCCTGCTATTCTGAGAGCTGTTCCGAGGGACAAAGAAAATGGAAAGACATCAAACTCCCGCCCACTGACCACTGGAAGTTGATGCTATCTCTTTGATACACCTCTGTTCTGTTTTGTTTCCTGTTTTGCTGCTGGTCTGGGACGCCGGGAATTCCCCATCCAACCCAATCCTGATTCACAAGTTCCTATCATGCTGACAGCAAAAGTGCAATGCGGCACTCAACTCAGGCCCCCCATACTTTCTAATTAGCCTTTTTTTTCTTTTCCCATATATTATTCTGAATCCCGTTCCGTCCCATCCGCCCGCCCCCCCCCCGGCTCAGCTGCACGGCCTAGATAAGCCATTGTTTGGCTGGCAGCATCTGAGAGTTGCCACCACACTGCTTGCAACCAAGCCTGGCTCTTTGCCATGTTACAGAGAGTCAAGAGAGTTGAAATGGTCACGTTATCTGATAACTTAGTTCAGCATCTGGAGGGGAAAAAAGGCACATATTGTGGTTTTGGGTGACATGCAAAAAGAAACTTCAGTTTAATCAGTCAATCAAAAAGCAGGTGATACATCACCTTAAAAAAAAAGACCCAGTTCATTGTTCCAGTGTCTGAACTAAACAGTACGTCTCTTTTGTGCTCTACAAACAAACAAACAAAAATTCACCTATTTCCCAGAGGTTATAAAGGTAAAGGTAAAGGTTCCCCTTGACATTTTTTGTCCAGTCGTGTCCGACTATAGGGGGCGGTGCTCACCCCTGTTTCCAAGCCATAGAGCCAGCGTTTGTCCGAAAACAATCTTCTGCGGTCACATGGCCAGTGCGACTTAGACACGGAACGCTGTTACCTTCCCACCGAGGTGGTCCCTATTTATCTACTCGCATTGCATGCTTTCGAACCGCTAGGTTGGCGGGAGCTGGAACAAGCGACGGGAGCTCACTCCGTCGCGTGGATTCGATCTTACGACTGCTTGGTCTTCTGACCCTGCAGCACAGGCTTCTGCGGTTTAGCCCGCAGCGCCACCACGTCCCTTATAGAGGAACAGTTAAAAAAATGGTATCTTGAATGATGGGCTATTATGATACCTCAATCATGTCACCTTTGAACTCTCACACACACCGGCAATAATAAGACAAAGACATTGTGCAGCTATTCCAATTGATTTTTTTTTTAAAGAAGTGGTGGGAAAACATGGGAGAATTACACCCAACAGCTTCCTGACCACTCCACCACATCTGGAGTACTTCCGTTAAGTGAGGAAATGGCACCAAGGGATGAAGGCCTTGCCTGTCAGCACCACGAGTCTCTTGTCCATACAGAGACGGAGTTCCTTCAAGTGAAACGTAGGCTGGACTCCTCACTAGAGGAATGTTCACAGCTCAGTAGCAAACGCAAGCAGCAGAGGTGTGCAGATCTGTGGTTTGGAGACAACTCTGCTGCCTGGGGGGATTCTGGGTTCTGTGGTTGAAAAACAGACACATCTCTACATGTCTACCAAGCACGCACCCACCCACTTAGTGCTTTGCTGGGGGGGATGAGGCTTGAGAAGCCCTCCTGCAATGGAAGACGGGGATATCAAAGTAATGGAAGTCGAAAAACATCAAGAGCACTCCACCATCCTATAAAGCAGTGCTTTCCACCCTTGAGTTCTCAGATGTTCTTGGACTACATATCCTATAAAGCAGTGGTTTCCATCCTTGGATGTTCTTGGACTACAACTCCCAAAAATCCTGGCCGCACAGCTTCAGAAGGCTTCTTGGGAGTTTTAGTTCAAGACCGTCCGGGGACCCAAGGTTGGGAACCAATGCTCTAAAACAAAGCAATGGGTGCTGTTTATATATCGCCCCATAGCACTTAAAGCACTCTCTGGGCAGTTTTCAATTTAATTCTGCAGGCTATACATTGCGCATTATACATTTGTTAGCCCTGCATTTGAAGAAGACAAAGACTCCTACTGGGGGAATAGCACTTTAGAGCTGGCAGAGAAGAGCGCCTCTAGTGGACATCGGTTGAACTGGAAATGGGGTGGGGAGAGGCCGACACTTACCTTGGTGCCAGTGCTGGTCGGGGATGGGGAGAACGGGGAAGGTTTGCTCTGCTGGGTCTATAGGGATGAAGAGAGAAAGGGCTTCAAGATGGAGCAGGGGTGCAAATCTTCACTGAGTTATTTCTCACAGAACAACAATTATCTAAACTTTTCTCCCCACTGGGTAAAGAGTTTTTGTGCATATTTTGCATTTCAGCCCTTTTTTGTTTTTTTGCAAAACTGGCATAGAAATGTTGTTGTTTTTTAAATATATGCACATATATTGCAGGAAAAAAAACCTTGGACTTTGTTATGCAAACATTACATTTTTTAGTGCAAAAAGTAGAGTTTTTGTGTTTTGCTAGGCAGAATTAATAGCGTGGGTGAAAAAGGTCTACGGTCTTTTTGTTTTATATAGGAGCAACAACAACAAAAATCTGTCAGCGGATTTTCACCCTTTTTTCGCCCTTTTTTCACCAAGAATGAGAAAACTGGCCCATATTCGTTACATCCTTGATGGATGTGTCCTGGCAGGGCGTCCCACTTTATGTCAAAACCTCTTCCTTACTCCACTTTATCCCCCCCCCACCCGCCTTCTGCCCAATGTTCCTCACCTGGTGGTTTGTGTCAGGTCCATTTCTTTCTGTGTCTGGAACCAAAGAAGACAGAATCACTGTGACCGTTCCGTAAAAAGAAGGGCTAAAGAAACACCTTGACTGAACTTTCTGCTCCAGGCCCACTTTCACCCACCAGTGGTGTGCAACACTAAATCAAGCTCACTGAACATCTGTTTCTTCCCTCACTTCACTAATATATACCTCTGGTTGTCAGAACTTATTTATTTATTTATTTGATTTATACCCCGCCTATCTGGGCGACTCGTCCACTCTAGACGGCTTGGTCCACTCTAACTTAACTCCTGGTCACTAGGTGTCTCATGCTATGGGACCAATGTTAGCGTAAAAACGTGGTTTAGCAGAGTATTTAGCAGTCTGGGTAGTCCAGAATAACTCATGCACACACCAGCAGCTTCTCCTCCACCGACGTGTATTTACAAGGTATTTACAGTAGTTCAGTCCCACCGATGTGAATTTACAAGGTATTTACAGTAGTTCAGTCTGGCAAGCATAACAGGTAGCAATCATCACCAAGCAAGAAGATACATCAACTGTTCATTTCACACATATATGCACATACAGATCTGCTTGTGCCCAATCATATTACGTGTTACTCTGCTGAGTCATCATGACTCAGTTTTTAACACATCTGTTCATCATGGCTGCTCATTTAATATACCGTATTTTTCGCACCATAAGACACATTTTCCCCCACAAAACAGGGGGGTGGAAAGTCTGTGCGTCTTATGGAGCGAAGAAAACAGATTATATTTTCCTGTTTTCTTCTCCTAAAAATTGGTGCGTCTTATGGAAAGGTGCGTCTTATGGAGCGAAAAATACAGTACTTTATTCTGAGTGATGTTGGGAATGACCTTGACATACCTTGACAACCTACGGGGACACAAGGGCTGAAATGTGACGTGGTAAGAAATCCTAACTCAAACCTGAGGCCCCACCAGCCCCTACTGGCAGTGCATACAGGGAGGCAGACTGCAAAGCAGCAGAGCAAAGGGGGTGGGGGGGGGAAATGAAGATCTGTTTGCACACGGTGGTAAAGCAAAATGGATGGAAATTTTGGATGATCTTGAATGAGCAAGGACGCTGTGGGACACTCAACTGTTTTTACTCAGCCAGATCTGTTTCTTTGTAAGATCCTAAGAAGACTCCCTGGAAAAGACCCTGATGTTGGGAATGAATGAAGGGAAGAGGAGAAGGAGACGACAGAGGAGGAGATGGTTGGACAGTGTCACCAAAGCTATCAACATGAATTTAACCCAACTCCGAGAGGCAGTGGAAGACAGGAAGGCCTGGCGTGCTCTGGTCCATGGGGTCACGAAGAGTCGGACACGACTAAACAACTAAACAACAACAACAATATGGGGACGAAGGTTGTTTGGAACTTAAGCCAGGGCTACGCCATGGGGGAATGGCCATTGCACATGACTCTGCTTCAGTTCAATTGGGCAAACATAATTGGACAGGCGTACAAAGGGGGGAAATGGTAGGACGGTGTAAACAGGTGCAAAAATCTACACAGGCATCCTTGTGGAGAGCCCTGGGCACATCACAGCCCTCCTCGTTCATCCCACGCCCCTCCCACCTCTCCAAAATCATACCTTTTGCTAGTTAATGAGTCATTTCTACAAACTTTCCTACATTCCCTCCTACAAAACGTGGTTACCTGTGTGCTCCTCTTGCAGCTCCAGCCGCGCCTTCTCCAGCTCCAGGGGTTTAGACATTCTTACTTCTGGAAGGAAATGAAAAGAGGGGAAGAAAGATTGGGTCAAAGGCTGCAAAGGAGCCAACGCAAAGCATCTAAAACCTCCTTCTTTCAATACTATGCAGTTGTATGAAATAAGTATTGCAATCCAAATTGCACAAAATGTACTATGACTCAGTTATCCTTGTGCCTGCCTCAGTTGGGGCAGGCAGAACATTAATAGGTGGTTTTGCTTTTTTTTATATTCAGTGGCCAGAATTCTATGGGTTAGTTATGTCGGTGTAAGTACAATGATGTAAATTATAGCAATGAACTGCTGCCAATTATAGAGCGGCTGTTTCTATCCTTTACTGCTCACCGACTCGGGCAACTTGTTACTTGCAGCGATTTGTTAATTAGCGGCAATTTGCTGCGGTAGTTTACTCCATAGTGCTTATGCCAGTGTAACTAACCAATAGGATTCTGGCCATTGGTTGATATTGGGCTAGCTTAAATAAAATATAGCAAAAAAGCACACTATAATTTAGTGAGAGGGAAACAGTTATTTAATAAATGGATTGGTAAATGAAATCTAAACGTGAGGATAATCCCTGCTTGATTTTGGTTTTATCTTTGGTAAAAATGGAAGGAACAATACTGCTAAACATCTCCCCTTACATACTGTACCTTCCTATATGTAAAGGGGATTGCTCCTTTCTTTTATTTATTTTTTAAAAATAAAAGATGGATGGTCAGAAAAAGTCTTGGAATGATCCTCAAGGCGATTTCTTTTTTAAAAATAAAAGATGGAAAAAGTCTTGGAATGATCCTCAAGGCGCCAGCCACCCTTATTGATTGATTGATTGATTGATTGATTGATTGATTGATTGATTGATCGATCGATCGATCATTTGTATGCCTCCTTTCTCCCGATGAGGGGACTCAGGGCAGTTCTTCCTACCTCGCCCTATGGCAACATCTCTGAATGGGCATAGGCTTCTTGTGTCCCTGATGGTTAATCCCACTATCCCACAAGAATTCCTAACCTGAAAGGAGATCCTCTGACCTATCAAGTTATGACAGAACTTAACATCAGCCTTCCTCCCCAACGAGAGGCCCACTGTAGGAAACCAGATTGAGGAAGGTGGTCAACTTCTTCTGCTGTTTCAGAATGAGGTCTTCCCTTGCTCTGCCCTTGAGGTGGCAAAGGTCTGTGAGTGAACAGTCCTTTCCCCCTCACCTATGGGCTGCTTTCCCTCCCATTCTCCTTCCCCTCCGGTGTTTCTTTCCTCAGCCACGTTCCAGCACCAGAAACGAGAGTGGACAAAACAACACTTGCTAGAGGAAAAAGTTGTGGGGAGAAAATCCGTGGGCATACGGTGGTGGTCCATCCGGGCTCACCGGATGCCTCCTCTCTCTACATGACAGGAGCAGTTTTGCGTTTAAAGACGAGAGGCGTCCACAGCCATGTTTTAATTTGGAACTTACTGGGAGAAAAAAGCTGTTCTTCACACAGCTCGTTATTAATTAATTTGAGGAACTTGCTACCTTGGGATGCAGCAAATATCATGGATTTAGGGAGCTTTACCTGGGATTTAAGAGGGGATTATACATGTTCCTGGAGAAGAATAACTCCCAGTGCCTGTTGGACATGGCAGTGAATTGGGGGGGGGGGGGG